ACACACACACACACACAGACACACACACTCACACTCACACACACAATCGCAGGTTCATCTGATGTCTGGAGATTCTGGCCAGAGCTTCTTCATTTCCCTTTAAATCTAGCTTTAATCCGTTTAGGAGATAAAAAGTAAAGGTTATTGTTTTCATTTTAAAATGTTCACATTTTCTTCCCTTCAGATGGATGTTTGTACTGAGGTTTTCACCTTTACTTTTTCAACATCATTTCTAATGTCACTTTGTTTGTTTATTTACTTCAAATTTCAGTGTTTCATTTTTTTTAACAATCGCATCTCACATTGTTTTATTTATTAGTTTGTTTTAACGTAAATAAATTTTTTCCCCAGAGGTCTTATTTTTTTACTTTTATTTTATTTTTTTACTGGCTCCTGGTCACCCTGCGTTTTTAAAGTCTCTTCTGAGCTGTTTATATTTAAATATCCCTGGGTTAATTTTATTTTATTTTATTTTATTTTATTTTATTTTATTTATTTTATTTTATTTTATTTTATTTTATTTTATTTTCAACTGCTATAGATCACATTCAATATTTTTGTTTTAAATTATTTTCAAATAATGCATTTTCTTTTGTATTGTATATTTATCTCATTTTAATTTATTTCATTTTTATCTGTCCCACCTCACATCAAAATTTCTATTCGTTTTAGCTTCTTTTAAATAAATTTTTTTTTCCAGATGTGTCGACCTTTCCTTTTTCAAGGCTGTCATTTTTATATTATTGACTTTTACTGACTTTTCAGCTGTCATCTCACATTATTTATTTTTTTGTTTTAAATTATTTTAATTAATGCATTTTTCTTTTGTATTATATTTTTATTCAATTTTACTTTAATTGTCATCTGTCCCATCTCAAATCAATTTATTTATTAATTTTAGCTTTTTTATGTATTTTTTTCCCAGAGGTGTTGACCTTGCCTCTTTCAAGCCTTCATATTTTTTTTAAATTTACTTGTTTTTTCAAATGTCACATTCTGCATTGTTTTACGTTGGCCGAGAGATTTGTGCTGCAAATAGAAAAAACACCTGCAAATTAAGAAAACAACTTCATCAATTTGACAACACACGTGCTGCAAGTATTCACAACTCAACCAAATAAAGAAACGCACTGCAAATAAAATTCTTTATTTGGTTGTGTTGTGAGCATTTGCAGCACCTGCTGTCAAACTGATGAAGATGTTTTCTTGATTTGCTGGTGCTTCTATTATTTGTTTCCTGAAGATCTGAAGTAGGTATTTTTCTGTTACATTGATTTATTTTAATCTATTTTTGAACAATCTCAGCTCATATCATTTTATTTATCAGTTTATTTGAACTTTTTTTTATATTATTTGTAATATAAAAAAATCCTTTATCATCCATCACGTCTGTCATTGTTTTATTTTTCCTCCAGCTTCTCTCGACCAATCAGAAGCCTTGCTGAAATCACAGTCTGTCTGTGTCTGATTACAGTGTCTCAATCACTTACCTGTGTTGGCTCAAATATGTTGACATTCACTGTCTGATTGTAAGTATTCCCTCAGTCTCAGTCCGTTATCGTTACGTGTCTGTATCTGCGTCTCTCAGTCGCTTCATCTCCTCATCTCCACATGCTAGATATTTCACCTCACTTTTGTCCGCGTTCACTCCATGTGATGGTTAATCTCTATGACGTGCCTGATATTTTATTCAGTGCCTAATTAACTCAGAGACCCAGAACGGCCGCGAGCCGGCGGGATTTACAAGCCCTTTCATTTCAACCTCTTTCATTGGTTTCATGCCACGTAATTTAAGCTTTATTTTGTGGAACACAGTTATCATGGACGTCAATGAGGCGAAACGATGAGCAGCACTGTAATTACGCGGATCCTCGTTAACTCTCCACCAAGTCACACAGAAATCAAAGACTCTCCGTTTTGTAAACACGAAGCTTAATTGCCAAGAAACGACATTATTCTATATTTCTGCTGCTTAATTTGGTTTGTTTCTGCTTTTGTCCTGGAGCTGCGGGCCGCGGCATCTGTCTCAGATCCTTTTATACATTATCAAAGTTTTATTGATTTCGCTCTGACTGTTGTCGAGAGGAGAACGGCCGGATCAGACGCCGCTTCGGGCTGATGTTCGGTGACGCTGGGATCTCAGCGCAAACTTTAGACGCCTCACAATTCATTTCTGATCTCTTAGAAATGTCAGCGAGAAAAGAACAACAGAGACCATCAGAAATGAGCCAGACTTCTGAACGCACACAGAAAACAAACACACACACACACACACACACACGCACAAACACATGCATAAACACTCACAAATACAAACACATTCACAAACACATGCATAAACACACTCACAAATACAAACACACTCACAAACACATGCATAAACACACTCACAAACACATGCATAAACACACTCACAAACACATGCGTACACACTCATAAACACATGCGTACACACTCACAAACACATGCATAAACACACTCACAAACTCAAACACACAAACACATGCGTAAACACACTCACAAACACATGCATAAACACACTCACAAACACATGCATAAACACACTCACAAATACAAACACACTCACAAACACATGTATAAACACTCACAAACACATGCGTAAACACTCACAAACACATGCATAAACACAATCACAAACACATGCATAAACACACTCACAAGCACACACTTACAAACACATGCGTAAACACACTCACAAACACATGCATAAACACTCACAAATACAAACACACTCGCAAACACATGCATAAACACACTCATAAACACTCACAAACACATGCATAAACACACTCACAAACACATGCATAAACACACTCATACACACACACACACACATGCATAAACACACGCATAAACACACTCACAAACACAATCACACTCACAAACACATGCATAAACACTCACAGACACACGCACACACATGCACGCATAAACACACACATGCACAAACACTCTCAAGCAAACAAACACACTAACACACACACATGCACAAACACTCACAAACAAACTCACGCACTAACAAACAAACACACACATACACTCAAGCAAACAAACACATTAACACACACACATGCACAAACACTCACAAACAAACTCACGCACTAACAAACAAACACACACATACACTCAAGCAAACAAACACATTAACACACACACATGCACAAACACTCACAAACAAACTCACGCACTAACAAAGAAACACACACATACACACAAGCAAACAAACACATGCACAAAACGAATGCACACACAAACAAACACAAGCACAGACACACACATGCACAAACACTCACAAAAACACAAACACACAAGCAAACAAACACATGCACAAAACGAATGCACACACACACA